GGGGGGGTGGTGGTGGGCGCCGCCCAGCAGGCCGGGGGGGGGGGGGGGGGGGGGGCAGGACCTAAGCAGGGCCTCTGTTGCTGCCTTCCCAGCAGTAACAAAGTAGAACGTGGCACGGAGCGTATCCCCTCGGTCCTGCTGTAAATACCCCAGCAGGATGAGGGTTCAGTCAGTTTTGACAGGTGTCATTTTCTAGGGGATCAGTTCTGAGCTGTGCTTTGTTTCAGAAAATCACCACGAAGAATGCCTTTGGCTTACACCTGATAGACTATATGACCGAGATCCTGAAACAGAAGGACTCTGAACTGACCAACTTCAAGGTGAGAGGAATTGCTGCCTGGTCATGGTGGTGCTTTGTCTCCAACCAGCATTTAGCCTAAGGTTTAGTCAATAACAAACCTCAAATAATGCTGAAGGTAACTGAGCTGGTTACTTCCACTAAAAATATCTGGTAGGGGCAGCACAGTCACTTTTCACAGAAGCTTACAGTGTTGAATCCTTTTATACCACAGAAATTAAAGTCTGAATTCTTTCAGTTGTGGTCCCTCAAAAGGAGAGCTTATTTAAAAGTAAGACTTGTGATGCTTCTGAGGTAAATACTGGGTATTACAACCAGTAACAAAACAAGGCTGGAAAAGAAAGGAAGTTAGTGTGGCTAACTCCCGGGCTAATTTTGATCCAGGATGGATCAGAATGAGAACTTGCCAGGGCAAAGACTTACTTGCTATAATAGTTCACTGATGCTAGGAGGGAGAACTGAATTCTTGGGGGAATGAACAAATGGTAGAGCTTTTGAATGTGGCCTCAAGGAACCCCTGAGCTAGCTGTCTTATGGTTGATGAAACTGAGAAAGGGATGGGAAACAGTGCACAGGTTTTCAGTGGGTGGTCCTTCACCTTCCTGGGGGGGTCTGTGATCGAAAAGGGCACTTGGCATCTCCTGCGCTTCACCTCTTTTGACTTCATAATTTGGGAAAATAGAATGATACCAAGAGGACGACCCAAAAGAAGGCATGAAGGAGAGGTCTCTTGGCAGATGTAAGTCTGCACCTTTCTGCTTCTCCCCATTGCTTAATCTTGGCAACTTTAAATATTCTTCTGTGTGATCCCTTCCAAAAGACCTGATAAACCAAACTGTAGGCTCTGCCTGGGAAGACACATATTGACCCCTGCTGTGCACCTAGGTCTCCAGTAGGTTTCAGGATAGATCCTTTTCCAGTTGTTCACAATTTTGCTTGTAATACAGAGCATTCAGAAATTCAGGTCTGCAGCTTGTCTTCTGCATTTGCATCTTGTAGATTAGACTTTTTCCTTTCCAAGTAAAAATTGCATCCTTTGTTCCTCCTGTCAGATAGCAGCTGGCACGCTTGATGCCAGTGCGAAGATTTACGCCGTGCGCGTGGACGCGGTCCATGCAGATACCTACAAAGTTCTTGGAGGCTTAGGCAAGGACTCGGCACCTACAAAAAACGTGGACAGCCCAGAAGGAGGTGTGCCATTCACTTATTTTCTGTTAAGCTGTTGCTGTTGCACCTGCCCGTAAGAGAAATGTCAGTGTACTTACATAGCACCTGTGAATTTCAAAGCACTTTGTACATCTAGGAGATTATCACTAACTTCATTTTTCAAGGGCTGGGAAATACCAAATTAGTTTGCCTGGGCACTTGAGCAGGGAGGGTTGAGATGAGAACCTGAATCTGTTGCTCAATCCTGTATTCAACGATTTGGCCTGTCAGATTTCAATGCAAACCAAAGGTGACCTAATCTGAAACATAAAGAATGAAGTGCCCCACTCTTTGCTGTCCTTGGCTTTGAAATGAAAATGTGCTGTTAAGATAAAGTAGAGTCAATAAAAAGAAATGCAGCATCCAGCCAATGAAACATTGGTGGTTCGTGTTAATAGATACCTAATTGGGTAACTTCATGCCCTCAGGGTTTTTGTGTTTGTCCTACAAACTGAAGTAAAAGTTGTGCTATCCCTCCATAGGATATTTTAGCAAGTTTTCTAAGTGTAACTTGTTCTTCTTTTCCTTTTAGAAGACAGTGCAGCTCCTGAGTCTGTCAAGACGGTTCAGAAAAAGAAAAAGCACTCATTCAAAACTGTTGAGCAGAACTTGAATAACATCAATGTGTCGGATGCTAATCGCAGATGTGAGGTGGGTGGAGGGGGGCTGCTGTAGCAGCTGCGTTCTGGTGAGGGAAAGGAGATGTCGTCTCATCTTTCTCATTTCTATTGTTTTCCTTATTGTGCATTCCTCTCTTGGGCTCTAGCATTCACATGCACGTCTGTGAATTCTGCTATTATAGCAAGATTGTTCCTAGTCACGTATATTCCTCCTGTGTCAGGCAGCTCTGAGAACTCTCTCCTCGCTGAAAAGATGCGTGGGTCATTCTCCCTTCAGATCTGTACTTAAATGTTTCCTGCAGAGACCTGCTTCACCCCTTCCATCTACTCCATTCCTTGATTCTCTGCTTCATTCCCTACCTGTAGGTTGATCCCATGTTCCAGAAAACAGCTGCATCTTTTGATGAATGCAGCACAGCTGGCATTTTCCTCACCGGGCTGCGTACCCAAAGTTGCCACAGTGAGCTCCTCTTTGACTCAAAGATCGTGCCTCTCCCTTCTTCAGAGACACTCATGCTGCCAAACGCCGATCCTGTGAAAGTGACAGATTTAAAGCGTGAGTGCCGGTAACCGCGAAGCAAAGGGGGCCATCCAGACCTTTCGATCCTTTTCATCTCCCAAGTGTCCTCGTTTTAGTCTCGGCCAGCTTGACTTGTGCTCTTGTCCACTGCTTGGCTACCCTGTGGCACCATTGCTCTGACCTGCTCAAGTTGAGACTGGTTGCTGGAAAAACAGAAGCTTTGTACATTTTAGATCACTACATGTAGCTTAACCTCTGGCAGGTCTGTCACACAGCACGTATGCATGGTCTGAGCTGTGCAGCTGTTGAGATTAGTGTGCTCCAGGTTAAGGACTGACCTTCTTAGAGTGTTTTGAGCCTGTACATACTACCAAACCCCGCTGCTCTGATAAGATTCTCAGTGTTATGCCCACCCTCGAGTTAGGGTAGCAACTGAACTCTCCCTTTCTGCTGAGAAATGAGCCCAGCTGCTTTTGCACCGAGTCCTGCGCTGCCCTATGTGCAAGAAGGGCTGCCTACATATGTGGCTTTAAGAATGATTTAATGCCTGGCACTTGTTTTAGGTGCTGGTTGCTTCATCCTATATCAAATCTCTCCCCCTTGCTCTCCTTGTTTCTAGCCCTGCTAGCACAGTGCATTGAAAAACGCCCCATCTGCTCTTCGCTGGCTGGTTTCCAGTTTACAAAGTGGGATGCTGAATCCCATGATGAGGTATGTTTGTTAGCTCTGTGCCGGGTGGGATACTTGAGCCTTATTCTGTGCTCACCTCCAAAGTGATCTCCGAAATATGCAGGGCAGTGAGGTGTTGCACTGCAGGGCCGCTGATATCCTGCAATTTTTTTCCTGAGTGCTTTCTTCTCCTACAGTCGGTGTCAGCCCTGTGGGATAAATTTAAGAAGAGCGACCAAGCGTTCGATTTCAATGCGGAGATAGACAGCGATGCGGAAGACTGTGTTCCCACTCTGCCAGGTGATGACTGCAATTCTGACTCTCCCAGGAGCGCAGCAGCAGACAAGATTGGGGAATTCACAGAAAACCTCAGCTCCTTTGGAACGGTCCGCAAGAGCGAGAGGTAAGTAATCACTGAAAATCCATCGCTGTGCTTTGCTAGCAAGCGACAACTTCTGGCAGCTCTCTGGGGAATCTTTAATTTACTGTGTACACGTTTCCCATCTGGCTATAGCTTGCTTTCTGCTCAAGTTTCGGATACATCCAGGAATGCATTACAGTAATATCTCTACCCTCCAAGAGGACCTTTTTGTGTGGTCACATTTCCCCAGAGTGATTGCTTGTCTGCTCACTCTGCTGCTCAGTTTCCAGCCTGCCCTTTGGCAAATCCAACTCTGTTTTTGCGGCAGCCTCGCAGACCCCAGATGGCGAACACCCGCAGTATCTTTCACTGATTAAAGAGCGGGAGTCCTGCACACCTGCTGGCAGAGGGAGCGGGCCATGTCTGTACAGAGCTGATCTGGGTATTAAATGCATGCTCAGGCCCGGTGTGTGCCAAAGGAATGCTTTCACTGAGCAGCATGTGTGCTCTTTCCAGAACTGATGCCGTTCCTTTTGGAGAGGGAGACATCGGGTCCATGTGCCTTCATCTCTCCATGAAACCGGGGGAATATTCCTACTTCAGTCCCCGAACTCTGTCAATGTGGGCTGGCCCAGAGCACTGGCGTTTCAAACCTCAACACAAACGTACGTATTTAGAGACAGCGGCACATACGCTACAGATGCAGCTACTGCCAGGTCCTGCTTACCTTAGGAGATGTGTGATGTCCGAGTCATAAAGTAGGGACAGTAAAGAAGGGGACAAGCCTGCATGGCTCTTTTCTAGCCAGATGGAAAGCAGTACTGAGTTCAGACAGCAGGATCACACGGTGATCAGTCACACCCGGATCCTTTGGTGTCTAACACATTCTCTATTGTTTGGGTTTGTTAATGATGCTCAAAGTTGAGGGGGTGTCTCTCACTGCAGCAATAGGAGATACTAGCACTAGTACAGCTCCTGCTGTTGTTTCCCTCCTTCTGCATAAAAACTGAAGATTGCATTACACTTTCTGCTTCTATAAAAAGATACTGATCCCTTTAAAACATGAAGCTCAGAACAACACCTATTGCTTTCTGAAGGGAAAAGTCCTTGTAGGTGACCTTTCTGTGTGGAGCAGATGCTCAAGTTATGAGTGAGCTTGTTGTCCTTACTCTGTTACCAAGCACTGACAGTTTCCTTCCTTTCTGCTTTAGGTGCTGACTCCGAAAAAGAGGCCAAGAAAAGGAGTGTAAAGAAAGCATTTGAAATAAACTTTGATGAAGATATTGACTTTGAGGTGTATTTCCATAAGACCAAGGTACGTGCTGAGTTTCTTCCTCTTTCTGCTCTCTTTTGCCTTATCAGTGTGTCTTGGAACTTGTCTGCAAATGGCTCATCTCATGCTCCTGTGAAACTGATGCTGTAAACCCAACATCATGTATGTTCCTTGGTGCAAGGTCTTCTGACTCTAGGTCACGTTACAAGTAGCATTTTACCAACCTTAGGGTGGGGAATCAGGCTGGATTCTTCCTGGTTTATATTCTGCCAGTCAAAAGACCCTGCAGGTCCAGCTGTGTGTCCCAGGATGCTGTGGAGAAGCCACTGGGTGCACTAACTGGACCAGTGTGGAACTCCTCTTGGGAGGCTTCTCAGAACTTGCCTCCTTTCAGACGAAGACCTGTGTTCAAAGCACTTATTTGTGCATTAATCTTCCAAGTAGTGGATAGCTCATAGGTAACGGTATTTATTACCTTCCCCAGGCATCTGTAACTCTAGCCAAATCCATTCTGGAAAGCCAGAATGTGAAGAGCACCACTCTTCCCTCAGACTTCAACTATGACCCTAACAACATTCTCCAGCTGTTCCTCAAACCAGCTGTTAAGGTAAGAGTCTTATCTAAAAGCACATTGGCAATGATTCCATGCACAAAACCACTCTTCACCTTGAAGCTTGAAGTGCTTCGGGATGCTCCTCAGGGCTGGAGACAGGCATCTCTCACTGAACTGACCCACCTGTGGGTGCCAAAGCGGCTGTGCTTAGCTGTTGTGCTTTGCAAGGGGCTTGCTAGAGGGCTGGTATACAAGGAGGAGGAGGAGGAAGAGCCAGCAGGCTGGGAAAAGGGGAGGTGATGAAAGAACAAGGTGCAGGCATTGCTTGGAGAAGTGTTTAGAGTTTTTCCTTTCCTGACCCCTGGTTCTGTAGCTCTGCAGGATGTCTGAGCCGGACAGCTCGTCGGATCACGAAGATGAGATCGGCGAGTACGATTACAACAACCCCAA